GCTTATTCTTTGGACATTCAAGTTTCAAGTTTCATCCCGGCAACCTGTTTTTGTAATGACCTTGTTAGCCAATTTTCAACACAAAGTTATCAAATTTGACGTTTCAGCCATTTTAGCCTGTATTTTATACTGCAATGTTAAAATTTAAAGCCTCTCGCTTCGATTTTTAAAATAGCTCAGGAACCTTGATTTTTGCAACGATAGTCATTATGTTTCGTTTAAATGGTGTATATTGTTGTGTATATTTATTTTCTGTCCCGGCAACCTGTCTATCACTTAAATTAAAGTTGAAAACAGACATTTTTTTCAAAATTCCCTATCATTTCAATATAATTTCCGTGACCCGTATCCGATTTCTTTAGTATAATATTCAAATAAGCAAAGTGGCGTTGATTTCTGGATATGCCATAATAAAGTAGTAGATGAGGTTCACTTCTTCTTTGAGTGTTCTTGTCTCAAAAAAAATGTACTAGACAAACTTCTCTCATTTGTCATCTGATTATAAATTAATTTTAGTTATTCAGTAATAATTCAATTTTGGATGTAACACGCGTTGCCGTATGTCTTCTGATTGTCTGAAAGTTTTTGTCTATCACCTCATAGACATAATTTTGTCATGTGACCGTGACGTCATCAACGTTTTTTTATGATTTACTCCTTAAAAATGGAATTTAGAATTACATTATAAGGAATGACTGTTATAATATTTTTCTGTTTATTCGAAAAAAAAAACTCAAAAATGCTACGCGGCTTATTCAGTGTGTATAACTAGTTTAATTTATCAATCATCAATACGCTTTTGGGATCATCGGGATGTAGGGGATAAAAAAGTGAGATCTGGGAAAAAAGACTATGGAGAAAAGGTGTGAAATCGGAACAAATTGCAGAAAAAAGAGAGATTTGGGAAAGGTGCAACCCCGTTTAAGCATAATCGTACATTATTTTTTTTTAAAGTCGATTTCTACTGTTTGCACCAAGATTAATGATGATACTACTATATTGCGTTACACCATGCCTGAAGGTTCCAAGAAACCTTGACAAATTATTATTGCAAAGTGGGATTTAGTTGGGCCTTGCGAATCTAAATACTAATATATGATTAAGGCATAGACTTTTTACAAGTTCCACTCCTAACGTTGTCTTGGTGCCCCCTATCAAAATCCTGGATCCAAGTCTATATTGTGTATAATAGCAGTACGTGGAATAATACAATGAAGTATATGTCTCTGGTAATGGCAGTTTCATGGTATATCATGATTAATATCAATCTCCGGTATTAGAAGATCACCGAATCACGACTGAAAAGCTCCTAAAGCTATTGAATATTCGATTGGCATTTAGTAAAGGAAATACTCTAATACATACGTCATGTAAAGCCAAATCATTGACAGAAGAAATGTAGATCACGGTGACTTGCTTTTGATATTTTACGCAACCAACGCATTGTTTGTGGGATATTCCGAGGCAATTTCAGCATAAGAGCTTAAATCGGATCTCATGCATACAAAATTGTGATAATCAGTAATTACTGACTTGTAACCAACACCATAAGAAAATGCCAAAAATAACAGATTTCTTCTTTAATATGTTCTAAATAAAATGAGGTATGTATTGATGTATATTGTAAAAACGTATTTTCATATTTTAGAAATAGTGTATAGATGTAATCCTGCGAAGCCATAAGATTCTAGTTTTTCATCAGCTTTCAGGAAATCACTTTCTTCCACTCTGAATCCACCATTGAACCAAGTCCTAAGTTTTTCACAAGTAACTGATAATTCGTCTGCAACGGTCAGATTTATGCATTTATTTCCCATAAGCGATTTGATAATATTAACATACTTGTCCTGGTCTGCCAAGTTGACGGCATTAAGAGCACCACTATCCCAAACTGCCCCAAATTCACTTTCAATAGTTGAGTTAAACAGATAGAAATCGCAGCAATATAACCGTATTCTTCCATCATCACTTTTATATAATTTCCCTTTGACCTCCGGAATTTCTACAATACTATAATCGATTTTGTTCTCTGCAAAAAAATCTTTAAGTGCTTCCTCACCACATTCGACGCCGATAACTTCATGTCCTTTATCCCAAAGCCATTTCATTTCTACAACTTTTCCACAAAAGGGGATAAACGTTTTTACTTTTTCACGACTGTTTAACATTTTGTCAACATGTTTGGTAAACATCAAGCAAAGTTCTGGTATAACAAAATCTGTTTTACCATCTTTCCACAATTGCCTCCACTCGTCCACATTCACATCACCAGTATAATCTTCTTCCATTACAACCTACGATAAAACATATAAATGCTGCATTTAGAAATAACGATATTTTCATGGATTTTCTCTTACAGCGTTGTTAGACTAGGTCAGCAACTACCACACTTTAACCTTAGCGCGTTCTAGAAACACTCATTTCAGAGAGTTTGGTAGTATAAAAATAAGAGATGTTGTTTGATTGCCAATGATACCACTATCCACCAGCAACCTGAGGACGAGGATGCAATCATTTATAGGTCACCATACAGCTTTCAACAATAAGCAAAACCCTAACGTTATAACAATTCAAAAGAAAAACCAACAACTCGATCTATTTCGTGCTAAAACAACAAATGAAAAACAATTAAAACGGACAGCAACCAACGACAACCACTGAAAAACAAGATCATGACTTGGAACAGCGCTCAAACCCCTACCCTTGGACAGTGTTGTAGTCATTTCTAACGTTAGATCATCAAAATCTCTTACAATGGCAAACGCTAAAATATTTTTCAGATAAGGTTGGTCTTCAAATGGACAAAAATGCTGGCAGATCTATAATACAATATTTTAAAAGGAGGACTATTTTAATTGTTGCTGAAATTAAACGTTCTTTCTACACAGGCAAATTTTCCGAGGGGCAATACGTGATCTTCACGTTAATTTCACGTATAATGAGATTCACATGAATTTCATGTGAAATTTTTCATGTGAATATTACAAAAAATGATATTTTTCATATTTTAATTAAATTTGAAAATTAAGATGTTATTTGAATAACTTTATTTTGAAAATTCACGTGAATTTCGCATGAAAAAAGTCAGGTCCTCTCGTGAAATCTACGTTAATTTCACATGACATTCACGTGAAACTCCCATGAAATCAGTTCACGTGAGTTTCACGTATAAGCTCGTTTGAGGTGAAATTCACGTTAGTGATATTTTCCTGTGTAGACCTGTCAAGATACGATTTGAATATAGTAAACACACTTCTGATCTGCTACATATTTAAGACTATAGGACAAATATATTTGACAACACAATATGTAAAGACGGAATGTTGAGAGAACAAACATGAGATATCTTCAGTAAATGCAGGCCGGGCATGTTTACATGAAAAAAATGAAAAAGGAATAAACTTGAGATTAAGGATCCATTCAAATGAGGGTCAAAATGGTATGCGATATTCTACCAAAATATAATACCCAAAGTATCTTAAGACTAGGTGGAAAGAATTTATATTTTACAACATGGAAGATGATGTCATTCGGGCATGCTATTATAAACAGGTACCAGGAACACACATACCAAACTTACTGTACTTCAATTTCTGCAATGACAGTCCATTTGTGTCTGACTTTTGGTCAGTAAATATATAAACTTATTGCCATGCATATGTGTGCCTTTTTAAAAAAATGTCCATTTTTGACAACTGGAAAATGAACAAACAAATGTTGAGAAATAAGTGATTTAATTGTACATGTCAATACTTTAACATCAGTATAAACTAAATACAAAATATGCTACCTTAAACTGAACGGTAAGTTTGACAACAACTCTGTAAAAGTGAACATGATGTACCAAGATGTCCCCTTCGCAACGATTTTTTAAGGCTCTACCATGCTAAAAAATTATAATTTAAAAGGTATTTTTTCTTCAAGAATCTGACAAAATAAATGATTTTATACGGTTTAACTATTTGATTTGCAATTATAACTACTAGAAAATATTGAAAGCCGTTTTTAAAATATTCACAAATGTCCATTGCGTAACGACATATGTCCCCTATGAAAAGCTCTGTGTCCACTTCGAAACGAAATGTTGCGTAGTGGACCGTGTTAGCAGCTATTGTTGTTACACGCGGTTTCTCAGATACTTGTTTTTATGATTATTGTCTTAGATAATACATTTTATTTCATAAACTCCACGTTTTTTATGATTTGAGGTCAACATTTCTTAAAAAAAAGACGTTGCAAAGTTGACAAGTAAAAAAGTACGCTATCAATAGGACTTGCCAATTGATTCAATGCAAACGAACTATATCATCAGCACCCAAAGATGACCGCCATTTTACTTAATGAAGTTGTATTAGGGGCAAGTAAAAGAAAAGACTACAATTTGAATAAAAGAAAGATTATAAATTTACCAATTGTTTGTTGTCGTTGCGAAGTGGACATTTTTTCATGGACGCCGCTTAAAAGTTACAAGCACAATTTGAACTTGAATACTTTTTGTAATGTAGCTCTATGACAAAACATTGGAAAAGGAGCAAAAAAATTAGAAAATTGTATGAAATTTTGCCGCGGAAAATTTGAATAAACTTTCAAATGTGGACAGAGCGTTTTTGCTGTTTTTGAGCCCTTTGGTCTGATATTTTTAGAGAGTCCTTAAAACCAGAGACATATAATACAACTTTATTATGTAACTCAATTCCCCTTTTTACCTTCATAAAAATAACAAAAACGCCACGGTAATAATATGCAACTTCTGCAGCAATAGAGACAGGTCTGCATATTGATGACGTATTCTGATAATTTTAAGTTATGATAATTATGAATTTTCTATGAACATTTTTGTTTTTCGTGGTTCAGTGTCATTAACATCAGTCCCATATCTCCATGTATCATTAATACGTGCAATGAACATGTAAAGGCAATGCTTTATTTTTAAAAATGATTTTCGAAATTATTTGAAATTTAAACAATTCAAAATAATGACAACATAACAGTATGCGAAATCAGATATAGTATCATTTATTATGTTTTTCAGAAGAAAGAAACAAATCAAGATGTGTATTGATAAACATACTACATTGTTAATTATACAAATTGTCATATTTTGAATATTGTGTATAGTTGATGTCCTTTGATGCCAAAATTTTTTAGGTTTTTGTCTGCTTTCGCATAATCACTTGCTTCGACTCTGAACCCATCTGTGAACCAAGTCCTGATTTTGTCATAATTCACAGATAACTCGTCGAGAACAGTGAGATTCACACACGTTTCCCCCATAAGTGGTTTGATGATATCAACATACTTTTCCTGTTCATCCAAGTCGACGGCAATAAGAGAACCACTATGATCCCAAACTGCTCCAAATCCACTTTCAATAGCTGAGTTGAACTGATAAAAATCGCAGCAATACAACCGTATTCTTCCATCATCACTTTTATATAATTTCCCTTTAACCGCCGGGATTGTTTCTACACTGTATCCGATTTTGTTCTCTTCGAAAAATTCTTTAAGTGCCTTGTCACCACAGTTGACTCCGACAACTTCATGCCCTTTATCCCAAAGCCATTTTATTTCAACAGCTTTTCCACAGTGAGGGACAAAAGTTTTAACTTTTTCACGGCTGTTTATCAATTTGTCGACGTGTTTGGTAAACATGGTACACAGTTTTGAAGTGTGATTTGTTTTGTCTTCCTTCCACAACTTCGTCCACTTGTCCTCCGTCATGTGCTCTTCCATTTCAATCTAAAAAGAATAGAAAAATATTGTTTTTTATTCAACAACAATATTGCACATACTGTTAACAGATTTCTTCACTGGTACAGCTATTTCAGTGGAGCTCCCTGTACATTAGTACCTAAAGACCAGGGTATCTTCAGGTATATATTTATAATTTTGTTAGTATATATATTATTTATCATTAATCCATTATTTCTCTATCATCTTACTATTATAGCTCTAAATATGAACTTTATATGAAAAAAACAGTAGTCCATAATATATTATTGTTAACTATCTCATAAATGTTGAGAGTAAAAAATAATAACGGAAAAATATTAGTAATAAAAGACAAGAACGATAAAACATTCTGCAATAAAAAAAATATAAGGATATTGTAGGGTTGTTCTCGTACAGCGCTATCTGGTATTAATTTTTTTTATCCAACTGTTTTGTCTTTTTCAACATGCTCAATGAGACATTGTCTTGTAGATGCATTTATTTTAGATACTGTTGAATATGCTTTATGACTTTCAAGTGGATTTTTGTCAGACTTTATCTGTTCTGGGACCAATAGATAAATGTTTTAGTCCAAGATTTGTTAGCAATTTTAATTGCAAGTTATCAATATTGTTTAAAAGATAAGATGGGAGTTTCAATGATATTGTACAATTCTTTCATGGGCTTTCCCCTGTGAAGAACAAATCATCGAATAATTAGTGGTACAATGGTATAACTGGATTTAAATTCCTGCATTTAAAACAGCTGTGCTTTTAAATACAATATTGTTGAAAGCCTATTGTAATCAAAAGCGTAACACATGAGGTAATGTTCTGGATCTGCATATAAAATATCTGACAACCAGAATTTTGTGTTGATGACAGCTCAGGAACTAGCAAAATCTTGTGCTCTTCTTAATTAAATTGTTCGTCATACAATTTCAACATGAAATCTACATAACATTTAGCTCCTAACTGGATTGCTTGTATAAATTTCAACAAATCATGAGAATGTGATGCATGCATTGTACAATATGTATTTATGTAAATTAAAAATACTGCAGTTCAAATTCATGTTGTGTTACTTTTAGTATAATGTTGCTTAGGTTGTCGTTTAAGATGGCCATGATATGTTATAAGTGTTTTATTTGCCCATGTTATGTTTCGAGAATAATTAATGAACTACCCATGTCAACGTATTCCCAAACTCTGATTTTTGTTTTACATTTTGTCCTACATTATTTGCTATATGATCTGGTGTTTTAAATATTTCAACGGGTAATATATAATCTGCATAAATGACAGATGGGTGTGAGGTTTAACCAGGTGAACAACGTTGATAAATTGTTTCTGTTGAAAGTACTATGGTAGTTGACATTAATGGAATAAGAGGAAGAACGACATTAGTTAATAGAACGCATTGTTGTAGGCGTTGAGATACTTGTATTCGAATAGTGGTTACACTTGTCCCCGAGGAACATGAATATAACCTAGTTGTAATACTTACTGAAACATCTGAATGTTGGCGCTTAGCCTTCTTAACCGCTGCTGTGGCATGTCCACTATTAGCCCTATTCGTTTGTGTCCTCTTTCTTTCTGATCTTCTATACATGGTCTGATCCGAAACACAATAATAACCTGTTAATTACACTGCATTTGGATACATGTAGTAATATTAATGTATTCTTGAATAAAACATGAGTGCACGTACCAAACCACACACGAATATCATAAGGCTAGGTGATGGCGTAAAAAGGACGACGATTTGTGCATGGTAAGGCTAACATGGCCGCACCTTACCAAATCTGCATATTTGTACTTGTTCTGTGGCAGTCATGTTTTTTTTCAGGAAAGATACCAATAGATAAATTGACTTAAGTATAAAAACTTCGTTAGGCTACCAAATATCAACAACCGAATACATGTCTAACAGGTTAGATTAAGGGTTATTTCAAATTAAGATATTCCTAGATTGCCAATTAGACCACTGTTTACCAAAGACGAGAAGTCAAATATGTGAACAACTATAAATCACCATGGGGCTTACTGCAATATGAAAAAGCCGTATCGCATAGAAAGCTATCAAAGGCCCCAGGATGACAAAATGTGAAACAAATAAAAAAGAAAACCATTTATGCTGAAAACAATTAAGTTAAACGAAAACAAATTATGGCAGACATCCCTCAACGATAATTGCTGGAATACAGGCTCCTGGTTTTGGGCAAACGCATACAAAATGTGACGGGGTTAAATACATCTGTGAGCATCCAACCCTCCCACGAATCCTGTGTAATAGACTATAGATATAAACAAACAGTTGTTTAGTATTTAAAAAAAAAATACTCAATATCTAATAGTGGGTTTTTTTATATTTTTTTTTCAGAAATTTAGCGCGTTTCTAACTTTCAAATTGAAAAATGTAAGTAAGTAAACTGTATGTGTTGCATGACTGACTCATATTTATTTTATCACTTTATAACTTTGAGTAGCCTAGGCTAGATTATGATCAATTTATTCTAAGGCTTGTATTCGTAAATAGTATACAGAAAAGGAACAGTAACATTTTGAATATATCAAACCAGCGAAGAAACATATTTCGTTTTAAGGACTTTTCCTTAATTGAAAATTAAGGAGCTGATCATGAAGTTAATTAAAAATTAAATACAATTAGATAAAAAAAATACCTTTTGCTCTGTTAAACACCAGTTATTGGAGTCAACAATATATATTACACAGGTAGACATCGTTCTATATTTCGAGGCAACCAAAGGGATTTCGGAAATAATACTGTTATAAGCAATTGATTTTCTAATAATGAATATTGAAACGTTTTGGTATAAAAGGCGTTCTAATTTTAAGGCTATCAAATGGATTGTTTGATTAATAAGTGCGTAACGTCCACCACAAATATTTCTGTAATATTCAACGTGTTCAGGTCAATCTCTCGTTAGATAATTTAACTTGAACTAATATATATATATATGTATATGAAATTCATTGGACAAAATGCGATTTGATATAGATATTGACTTTCTCCAAGGAATAAAACAGTTACACGTTATAATCATGGTTATATATTAAATGGATAACACATGTAAAAGACACCAAAAAGGCAATCAAAACGTCAAGAAAAGAACCAAAGAAATCAAAAACCAAAAACACAAAAAACTCGACAATAAAAATAAGTAAAACAATCAAAACACCATGACATAAATGAAATAATGAATAAATAAAAAACAAAAAAGGAATAGCAGATCTGTGTGTTAAGAGTTTGCATATGACATTTGCAAATCTGCAAAGACATACTGTTATTCCTATTGTAATGCAACACATATACAATGTTTAAAATGAAACATTTGAAATATCCTGGAAACTTCGAGTAAGATTACGCAATGTTGTTATCAATAACTCTGACCGTCAACCGTGGCATTGATATATAATACATCTTCAATTCTAGATGTAAAAAGAGACTTTATCCATGATGAATAAATCTGCAAATATTCCTATTGACGAATACAAAGAAATGTGGGATAAACTGATTGATTGGTGGTTGCTTTACGCCGCCTCAGCACAAAAAGGCTATATCGCAGCGATCGTCAGTGGGACAGGAACTCGACGAGATAGTAAAACCAATTGATATCTAAATGCGCTAGCTCTTGCTGCTAGGTCAGATCTTATTGAAAATAAAACAGAAAATGGACAGTTTACGATAGATTAATAATCTTAACATTAATGTTTGTTTATGCTTGAATCACTCTTCATCTCATCGATTCTGTATCTATACAAAAAAATACGATAAGAAGATGTTATTAGAACAAAACATGAAGAACAGTTAGGTACACTTTTCACTTAATAATGTAGAAATCACCGTCTACAAATCATAAATACTTGAGACCAGAGATTTCTATTAGAACATTTAAATTCGCAAATTGCGAAAATCTCACGATTTCAAAAGGTGGCGATTTAACGAGGAAAGAAATGTCCATGTATTGGCATCGTTCACACAAGTAGGTAACGTCACCATCCATAATAATACCGAATCAGCATTTTTTTATATGAAGACATAAATTAAGGCAACCTGTATCATTTGTAAACTTTAATTTGTTGCACCAGTAATTTGCAACAACAAAAAATTGTGCTTACCTCCGGAATATCCACGTTTTAATTACGAAATATTTGCTCTGTGTCGAAGTGGAATCGACCAATTCTCCATGTTCGTGACTTATTACCGGATCTTTCAAAGAACAACCATACGAGGAACTAATGTGGGATAGGAACTGCTGAATATTCCAAATATAAAAAGAAGAATTGGTATGATTGCCAATGAGACAACTCTCCACAAGAGACCAAATGACACAGAAATTAACAACTATAGGTCACCGTACGGCCTTCAACAAATGAGCAGTACATATGTGTACAGACCCTTTTATTTTTAAATGGTTTTGTTTTGCTTTGGTTTCTGTTGATCTCCCCCTTTCTTCTTTCATTGTAAGCAATAACGATACAACAAGATATGACATTAGGAATAGTTATTCTTTATTGTGTTTATTCAGAAAGAAAAATAAAACAAGATATGCATTGATGTACAAGTTGTAAAGACACATTTTCATATTTTAGATATAGTGTACAGTTGTTGCCCTTTGATACCGAAAGATTGTAATTTTTCGTCAGCTTTCACATAATCACTTGCTTCCACACTGAATTCATCTTTAAACCAAGTCCTCATTTTGTCAAAATTAACTGGAATTTCCCAATCCGTAGCGTCGTCGATAACAGTGAGGTTAACGCATTTATTTCCCATAAGTGATTTGATGATAGCAACATACTTCTCCTGGTCCGTTAAGTTGATGGCATTTAAAGCACCACTATCCCAAACTGCTCCAAATCCACTTTCAATGCCTGCGTTAAACAGATAAAAATCACAGCAATATAACCGTATTCTTCCATCATCACTTTTATATAATTTCCCTTTAAGCTCAGGAATTTCTACTATACTGTATCCTATTTTGTTCTCTTTAAAAAATTCTTTCAGTGCTTCTTCACCACATTCGATTCCGACAACTTCGTGTCCTTTATCCCAAAGCCATTTCATTTCTACAGCTTTTCCACAGAGGGGAACGAACGTTTTAACCTTTTCGCGATTGTTTAACAGTTTGTCAACGTGTTTAGTAAACATGTTGCAAAGTTCGGAAATGTGAAAATCTGTTTTGCCATCTTTCCACAATTTTGTCCACTCGTCTACAGTCACAGTGCCATCTTCCATTATTAACTAAAAAAAGAAAGATGTTTGTAATAAAAAGAAAATAGGTTAGAGTAAAATAAAATAAAACAGTACTGCATTAAAAAATAAGGATATTGCAGGGCCTTAGTTGACAGTTTTTGTTTACGCAAGAATCAGTTTCGTGGTAGCTCCTCCTTTCCAACTAAAAATTTAAAGCACAATAATTAATGTTTAGAACTAAAAGGGGTAATTTCCCATATTTCTAAAAGGGCTTTATGTTATATGTAAAAAAGTGAAAAGTAAATCGCTTTAAGATCAAATATTCAAATCATAGAATTGTCTAAAACATATGCGACATTTTATCATACTGTGACGCACCACACTCAAATGGTAAGAATTAATGAACAGATTTAAAAAAAAATCCTAGGGTGTAGAAAAGGTGGGCTTTCCCCAACTCCCCCTATTTTGATTTCTTTATTGGCAAACCATTTGTGTCTATGATTTTGAATAATAAATATGAGCACAAGTATATATGTATAAGCATTCCCTTAATCAACACCCAAACACATTGTACACAACTTAACGGTTTGAAAAAAAATGCTATAGATGTGAAAAAATTAATAATATTTAGATATAACCTAGTTTTGGACTGTTTTTATTTCTTTCTTTCAAATATTTCCCGCATTTCTAACTTAAAAATAAAAAAATTGAGGTTATTAACCTTCACTTGCTTAAAATGATAATTCAATTCGATGCCCAATAAACCACACTATTTCTTCTATATAATTAGAATATAATTTTATGAACAAAGTTAAAATTGAAATTTTAAAATACAAAAACAGATCAGTAAACTTTTGAATACATTAAAACCTGAGAAGAAACATATTTGGTTCCAAATAATCAATTCTCATTAAGATATTATAATTTAAGCCATCACTATTTATTTATTGCTTTTGGCAAAATCAGATGTTTTGGTTTTTTTCTCTGAATGTTTTCACATTTTTCATGCCCATGTCTGTATACTGTGGTAAAATTTGAAGGCCGTACGCATGGCACGGTAAACTCTAGTTGTTTACATCCTCGTCCTTTGGTTTATGTTGGAAAGTTGTCTTATTGACAATCATATACCATATTCCCTTATTTTTATACTCAACATAAATTTGCTTAAATGTAAAATGAAATCCTACCTTTTAATAATTTGTTAACCCACCAGTTTACGCGTTTATATACCTGGATTCTACACCACTTGTCGATCCATATAAAGAGGTACCCAAAGGGTGTTTAGTGTTATTATTACTATAAATAATTTCTAAAAATAGATATTGTGACGCCTTGGTATAGTATACGTTCTATATTTTGAGGCAACCAAAGGTCTATCTTGTTTGCTAATTTCATTGATTGTTGCTTAACGGCTAGTGGCAAAGATTTCCAACACAATTAAGTCTATCTTTTGTTAGATATTTTCGCTAAAATAATATTCAAATTACTGTAAAATATATGTATAGACTCGGCAAAATAAACATATATTATACATGTTCACTTGAATAAAAACAGTTACACATTCATGATCAAATGGAGATAACAGGGAAAACACCAAGAGGAATCGAAATGACAACCTGAAAAAGAACGAAATAAAATGAAATAAACTTAGCGAAAAAACAAAACCCACAGAAGAATAGACTAATATACTAAACATTTAAGAAGATGTTTTTAGAACAAAACATCAGGAACAGTTAGGTACACTTTTCACTTAATAATGTAGAAATCACCGTCTACAAATCATTAATATCTGGAATTCAAAACAATTTCTTAAGACCAGAGATTTCTATTAGAACATTTAAATTCTCAAATTGCCAAAATCTCACGATTTCAAAAGGTGGCGATTTAACGAAGAAACAACTGTACATGTATATGCATCTCTCAGACAAGTAGGCAACGTCACCACCCATAATAACACCGAATCAGCACAGGACATTGTGCAAGGTAGCAATATATAGTTCTTTTTTATATGAAGGCATGAATTAAGGCAACATGTATCACCAATTTTTTAAGCTGTAATTTGTTGCCCCAGTAATTTTCAAAAAGACATTTCTGCTTACCTCCGGTAATTCTCTATTTTCGTGACTTATTACCGGATCTTTCAATGACCAACCATACTAAGAACTAATGTGGGATAGGAACTGCTGAAAATTCCAAAGTACATATGTGTACATACACTTTTATATCTAAATGTTGTTTTTTTTTTGTTTTGGTTTCTGTTGATGCGGAGTATTAATATAATTTTTTTCGTGCTGTTATGATTTGATTTTTGTCCAATTTCTAGAGTTCTATTGATGAATTCTGCCACTTTTGGTGTTTTCCTCATAGATAACCAAGTCAACCTGATGTTCCCTTCTTATGTACTTTGAAGTGTCATTTTCAATTTGGATACTTCTGCAATTTTATGTACAACTGTATTAACAATTTGCGTATATGGGTCTGTTGTTCATGAATATTGTTGCAATATTATGCATAGCTTTTACAAGTGATAAATCATATCAGCAAAAAATAAAAATGACTTGACCACGGATATGTTCCACTAGTGTTACTGAGCAACAATACCTTAGCGTCTTCTTTTCTTCGATTGACATCACTGAATGCACTTTCTCACCAAATTTTTAATTACAAAGAAGCAACAAGACGGTTGCCAAAAAATGGAACACAAATTGCTTACCCTTTCGGAACACATGAAGACTCCAGGGTTTTATCGATTTGTGTTGTTTTCTGGACAGTGTAGTCTATCTGCATGTTTTTTTTTGTGTTTATCGTTTGATCTTACTTCTACATTTTGTTTTGGATTTTCCCCTTGATGGCTTCTCCCCTTTTCTTCTTACGATACAACAAGATATGACATTATGAATAGTTATTCTTTATTGCGTTTTTTAGAAAGAAGAATAAAACAAGATATGCATTGATGTACAAGTTGTAAAGACATATTTTCATATTCTAGATATAGTGTAGAGTTGGTGCCCTTTGATGCCCAAAGATTTTTCGTCAGCTTTCACATAATCACTTGCTTCCACACTAAATTCATCTTTAAACCAAGTCCTCATTTTGTCCAAATTTACTGGAATTTCCCAATCCGTAGCCTCGTCGAAAACAGTGAGGTTTACGCATTTATTTCCAATAAGCGATTTGATGATAGCAATATACTTCTCCTGGTCTGTTAAGTTGATGGCATTTAAGGCACCACTATCCCAAACTGCCCCAAATCTATATCAATAGCTGAGTTAAAAAGATAAAAATCGCAGCAATATAGCTGTATTTTTCCATCATCACTTTTATATAATTTCCCTTTCAGCTCCGGAATTTTTACTATACTGTATCCGATTTTGTTCTCTTCGAAAAAGTCTTTAGGTGGCACGGTAGTATTTCCTGGTCCATAGGGATAATGATAGCCTTTTTAAAATTTTCACCACTTTCTAACACTGCCAAGAATTCTACATACACAGTTAACTGATGTACTTTCATTATAATATTCAGAAATGAATTTGAATATGTATCATGACCGTTTACTTTTTTTGCTATCTTTAAAACCCTAAGGCCACCAGTGCTTTTAGGTCTTTTATCATGCAGTGAATACAAAATTTAAAAAAATTCTCAAAAATTCATTTTCACCTGTATGTAAAATTATTTCATATTTTTCTACATCTGATTCAACCCTCAGTTTTGGAAAGTATGTTCAGTTGATACTGTATTTTCTGTCCAATCACACTGTTCAGATACATTGACTTAAGTAGGGTACACAAAAGAGCAACCTAAATTCTGGAATGCAAATACTACCGTGCCACCTTAAAAAGCTTCCTCACCACATGCGATGCCAACTACTTCATGTCCTTTATCAAAAGGCCATTTCATCTCCACGGCTTTTCCACAGAGGGGAACGAATGTTTTAACTTTTTCACGACTGTTTAACATTTTGTCAACGTATTTAGTAAACATATTGCAAAGTTCTGGAATATGAAAATCTGTTTTGCCATCTTTCCACAATTTTGTCAACTCGTCTACAGTCACAGTGCCATCTTTCATTATAACTTAAAACAAATATAGTATCATCAAAAGAAAAAGTTAGAGTCAAACATGATAAAACGATACAGCATTAAGAAATAAGGATATTGCATGGGTGTTCACGTACAGCCTTAGTTGACAATTTTATTTTAACTGCACTAGAATCAGTTTTGTGATATTCCTTCCCCTTCCTCCCCCAAAAATGAAAAGCAAAACATGGCAGTCCAAAATTAAAAGAATATTTTAAGATCTAATAGGAAATTTTTTCGCATAAATCTAACCGGATATTTTGATGTTATATGTAAAAGAGTGCAAAATAAATTGCTTAAAGATAAACAATTCGTCAGGTCACAGAAAGGTAAAAACAAATATGCTAAAAAGTAAAATAACAAAAATACCGAACTCAAAGGAAAATAAAACGGAAAGTCCTTTAACAAACGGCAAAATCAAAAGCTCAAACACACCAAACGAATGAAAAATAACTGTCATATTTCTGACTTGGTACAGGCATTTCCTTATGTCGAAAATGGTAGATTAAACCTAGTTTTATAGCTAACTAAACCTCTCACTTGTATGACCGTCGCTGAAAATTCGTTTATATTGACAAAAATGTGTGGGCAAAAAACAAACAGACATAATAGGTAAAAATGTCAAAAAATTGGAGTACAGCAGTCAAAATTGTGTTATAAACTTAATCACTATAAAAACAAACAACCTTGTCAACAAAGAAAAATAAAATAGACGCTCTATAGACAAAGCACATAAGCAAAAACGAAAGACAAGAATACAAAAATGACCATCGCACAATAACACAATGGCGGGATGTATAAATACCGAGCCACGCCAACAGGATATTACAGGAAAGTTAAAAAATATACAAAGCCAAATAAAAAGAGCACTACAAAACGTAACTAAGATAATAAAACAACGTCATTACCTAGAATCTATACTTCAAGACATTCATGTATTATATGTGAAGTTGATACGGAATATTCATCAACAAGGTCTTGATATCTTCCGATGAACTTTTTTAGAAATAAAATACGAGACGTTCTTTGACATAAACCTGGTTCATCAACTTTCTGCTCAGACAACGGTGACATTATATCATACTATCAACAGATGTTATGTAATTACAAAGCCTAGGGTGTAGAAAAAGTGGGCCTTCCCATATTTTGATTTCGTTAATGTCAATCCACTTGTGTCTATGATTTTGAAAAATAGATAAATAAACAGATTGTTTTAAATATGAGCATAAATATATAAAGAAATAAGAAGATGTGGTATGAGTGCCAATGCGACAACTCTCCATCCAAGTCACAATGTGTAGAAAGTAAACAATTATAGGTAAAAGTACGGCCTTCAACACGGAGCCTTGGCTCACACCAAACAGCAAGCTATAAAGGCCCCTAAAATGACTAGTGTAAAACAATTCAAACAGAAAAACCAACGGTCTTATCTATATAAAAAACGAGAAACGAGAAACACCTATGAACCACATCAACAAATGACAATCACTGAACAACTGGTTCCTGACTTAAGGCAGGTATGATATCTTTCACCTCTCTTTAACAGATAAACATGAAGCGATAAACGTATAGTTTACGTTTATAGTCTACTGGTATCTTGCTACTGTTGAGAGCAAACGGTTATGTTCAAATTACTGTTTACATAACAGTTCAATTTTATGTCCTCCTTGTGGTCCGCGTTTTAGTCATGTCGATTTGATTCAAAATCATATTCAACTATTTGGATGAAAACAAACTATACGTTTAAGGTCAATGTTAAATTCGTTCACTGTAGGAAAATATAGAATGTATTTGTACTCGCTACGAAACAGCTTTCCCGTTTCTTTTTTTTTCCGTTTCTAAAGCTCGTCCAATAAATTTTATATTTGCCTACATTGTACGAATATTGTATATATATTTGTGAATAGTGTATATACTGTTTTCTGTTTGTTTTCTATATCTGTGCTATTTATTACATGTAACTTTTGTTTACCATTGTATTGAAAAAAAGGTTTATCAGAATAATGATATATTTATAAACATTCCGTTAATCAACAATCAAATACATTTTACATATCCAAACGGTTTTTGAAATGCTACAGATGTAAAAACTGTGAGTACTATTTACAAATTAACTAATTTTGAAGTTTCTTTTCATTTATTTCTTGCAAATATTTCCCGCATTTCTAACTTAGTCACCTTTACCTGTAAAATGATTATCCAATTCGATGCAAATAAAACAACCGTATTTCTAATTTCTAATTGATTTTAAAATTTCAATTTCAACTTTGATCACGAAATTACATTCTATTTATAGAATACAAAAACGGATCAGCAAAACAGTGAATACATTAAACCCTCGCGATGGAATCCATTTTCTGGAAAATAATTAATTCTCATTGAGATGTTTTTTTAGCATAAATAGGATGGTTAGTTTTCTCTTTTGCCGGGGTCTTTTATAGCTTACTATACGGTTGATAATATTGATGAACTATAGTTGTTTGTAAACATCCTCGTACATTTGGTTTCAGTTGGATAGTTCTCTTATTAGCAATCATATCATATATATAGTTAGCAAAGGTACCAGGTTTATAATTTAATACGCCAGACGCGCGTTTCGTCTACATAAGACTCATCAGTGACGCTCAGATCAAAATAGTTATAAAGCCAAACAAGTACAAAGTTGAAGAGCATTGAGGACCCAAAATTCCAAAAAGTTGTGCCAAATACGGCTACGGTAATATATTCCTGGGATAATAAAATCCTTAGTTATATATCTTACATTTCATATATTTGTTAAATCAAAGAAAAAATCCTACCTATAATACTGTGTTAACCCGCCAGTTTAAAAGTTTATATACCTGGGTTGTACATTACTTGTCGATCTAAATTTAGAGGCAACCAAAGGATGTTTTGTAATATTATTACTGTAAATGATTTTACAAATAGATATTGTGACGCCTTGGTATAGTATACGTTCTATTTTTTGAGGCGACCTTGTAGGCTTATTTGATTGATTTTTGCTTGACGGCCAGTGACAAATACTTCTAACACATTCAGGCTATCTTTTGTTAAATATGTTCATTAAAATATTCAAATCACTGTGAAATATATGGATGTAGTTGGCAAAATTCAAAATTCACATGAATAAAAACAGTTAAACATTCAAGCAAAAACACCAAAGGGAATCGAAATGCAAACTTGAAAAAGAACGAAACACAATCAAATCAACTAAGTTGAAAAACAAAGCAAAACCCAAAACAAGCATTATAAAATAACTAAAAAAAAAAAAAAAAAAAAAAAATAACCATGTACACATGGTACATTTTCTTCCCTCATTTACTTCTTAGTTATCGTAAAATTACTCACTCATTATTTATTCATTTTACACGTTCCCTATAAATTTGCTTTTCGTTTCAATGGATACTCTAGAATATAATTGAAAGTACAAGAAATGAGATGTGTTAGATTAAAATATTTGAGCCGCTGGAACAGGTCACTACAAAACGAAAGAAAAAACATAAAGGCTATAATGATAGACAACCACTAATGAGTTTCCTGACATTCGATCAATGGAAATATTAGTCTTTTTTGTTAATAAAGATAACTTATGAAAGCCATTCATATGTATGTAAACATAAAAATATTTAAAAATCTCAAATTATATCAAATGGTCTTCATCAGCAAAGCAGAGAAGTAAAATTTGAATTGATGTTAAATTGTTGAAAAACATTATGAGTATACATCATTGGAACTTTTTTATATACATAGTCCACGTTATTTTATCAAGCTTATGAATTTTGACCCCATGAGTTTAAAAACTCTACAGGATTCACAACACCTCAATTTACGAAACATACAATGTAATAAACTAAGATGTTTTTGTGACTTTGTCTGTTATATTTAAATTTGGAATCTCGCTGGATATGAACACGAGATTTTGGGTTTGAGTCAATGAGACATCAACCCAACGACCCTAAAACAATTTGACATTTCGTTTTTTTTTTTCGTTTTTATTTTTTTAATTTGTCATATGTGAAGAGATCGAGCAGAGACGCAAACACTAGATTTATAATTGATAATAATTGCTTGCTTGCATGGGAGTTATCTTTTCCTTCAAATTTTGGAGCATGTATTATTTCTCTTCAAAGTATCAATGTACATAATAATAAGAACTAGGGGTAGATGTGGGCGATAGCTATAATGCAGCTAATTCAAAGAGAGGCGAAAGATACCAAAGGGATATTCAAACTCATAAGTCGAACACAAACATGAAATGCCATGACAAAAAAAAAAAAAAACGAAAAACGACCAAAGGACAAAAAAAAACCCAGCATACAAAACACTACATACAAAAACTAAAGACTGAGCAACAAAAACCCCACAATAAACCAGGAATGATGTCAGGGACTCAGAATGGTTAAGCAGTGTTACAATAATGCAACAACATAAGAAAATCACGAAATAAAAAAAAGATTACGTTAATGAATAATGTAAATTCAGAAATTATTGCTGGATGAGTATCGCAACAAAATCCTACCTTTTAATACTGTGTTAACCAGCCAGTTTAAGCGTTTATATACCTGGATTATACATCACTCGTCGATCTAAACTTAACTCACTTCCGACATGTTTTTGCGGTCTTAGATCTTTCGATACTAGTAAAGACGTCTGGTCTCATTACATTGTAACAGGGATTTGACATATTCCTTACAAAAAGAAACTGCTCCAATATAGTAATGAGGACGAACGACTGAAATCGACACTACAACGTTTTACGGTCACCATCACGATATATCGGTGACTTAACTCACTTCCGACATGATTTGTGGTCTTAGATCTTTCGATACTTGTAAAGACGTCTGGTCTGTTTACCAATTGATTCCTATACCCGATTGTGACATTTTTCTGACTGCGAATTCGCAAGGCGGGTAATACCTACATAGCAGGAAACGCTTACCCTGTTGGTGCACCCGATATTGCTCCGTTTTGACGTTCATATTATATGATTCTGTTTGTTACCTTCATTTGTCTCTAATCGATTTTAAACATCGGTTAACTATTTCTGTCGCCTAAATTAATCTTTGTTTTCAATGACTAAATATTTATGTGGAAGTCTACTAACTCTTCTTGTTCATGATTCATTACCGGATCTACAAATGTGCAAAAGTACTTTTGATTAATGACTGATAGTACACCAGCCCGGTATCGACCAAGGAATTGCCGAATATTCGGAACAACTTTTCAGGTTTCTTTTGTTGTTTTTTTTCTTGCTTTTCTGTTTGTTTTGGTTATAAATAATCTATTTCTTTTTGTGTGCTGTTATGATTTGTCTTTCATCGGTTAACATTATTAACCGATACTTCTCCCTACTCCTCAAGATATTTTTAGATTCCACAAAGATAATAAAGCATCGTGTAAACTGATTTTATCCTTTTAGATGTTCTCTTCCTTGTTTAATTAGTAAATCTGTAATTTGATATTATTGAAATGTGTTTTTCTGTTCTGTTGTTCACCAATATTCTTACAATATTATATACCGATTTTTATCACTACCGCTAAGTTAAAGTTAAACGGAGGACTACAACCAAATTCACTCGCGGATATATTCAACTTATTTATAGTAGCCACAATCCCATTCCATTTTCATCGATTGATATCACCAATTTCAACGTATTACCATTTTTTTTTATGTCAGCCTGGCGGGTGAAAATATAGTGAGCCGGAACTGTCTTCTCGTACAAAATGACGCAGTTGACACCGGCTTTTGGTGGGGTTCGTATTGCTCTATTTAATTTTGTGTGTATTGTTATGTTGACTGTCTTTTTTTTGCGTTTTTCTCTTGTTTTTTTTTCTGTTTTTGTACAACCTTTTGTCTTTGATTGCACACTAAGTGACTTCTTCCCCTTTGTTCTACTAACATTGTAAGCAACAAGATTGCATGTAGGATTCAAGACAGGAAGTTCAAAACTGAATAATGGTTTATTACTTACACAACAACAAGCGAAATCAAATGCAGTTATTCTGTATTATGTTTTACCAAATAAGAATAAAACAAGATAAGAATTGAGGTACAATGTTAGTACATATTTTTATATTTTGGATATAGTGTACAGTTGTTGCCCTTTGATGCCAAAGGATTCTAGCTTTTCGTCAGCTTTTACATAATCATTTGCTTCCACCCTGAATCCGTCTTTGAACCAAGTCCTCATTTTATCAAAATTAACTGGAATTTCCCAATCCGTAGCGTCGTCAATAACAGTAAGATTCACACATTTATTTCCCATAAGTGATTTGATGATATCAACATACTTCTCCTGGTCAGTTACGTTGATGGCATTTAGAGCACCACTATCCCAAACTGCCCCAAATTTACTTTCAATAGCTGAGTTAAACAGATAGAAATCGCAGCAATACAACCGTATTCTTCCATCATCACTTTTATATAATTTCCCTTTGATCTCCGGAATTTCTTTGATACTACATCCAATTTTGTTTTCTTCGAAAAATTCTTTAAGTGCTTCCTCACCACATTCGACGCCGACAACTTCATGTCCTTTATCCCAAAGCCATTTCATTTCTACAGCTTTTCCACAAAGGGGGACAAAACATTTAACTTGTTTACGACCGTTTAACATTTTTTCAACTTTTTTAGTAAACATATCGCAAAGTTCTGGAATGTGGCTCGTTTTGCCCTCTTTCCAAGCCTTCGCCCACATGTCCACCGTCATGTTTTCTTCCATTTTAACCTTAAAAGAAAAACATTGTAATAACAAAATTCCAAAATTATAAATCAACATCTTATTAGAAATGATTAAAAAATACATATGTTATAGGGTTGTCCTTGTACACAATAGTTTAAAATTTGGAAAGGAACATTGCTAGTCTTAAACAGTTATTTTCATGTTTAATCTTCACCAAGAAAGCTCAAATAAATAAAGGCAAATTTACACACTTAAACATGTGAGGAAGATATATGACCAAAAAGATAATCAAGTTCATCTGTCAATCTTCCATGAGTACGTTATCACCCTTGTTTCTGATTTATATGACAATTCATCAACGGACAATTAAGGAAGGATATGTTATAAAACAGAGGATGAAGATACTAAAGATAAATGTATAACTGATAAGTCGAGGAAAATCTGACTGCGCAATTGCAAATAACGTAATACGTCGAAAAGACGATTAGGTCCACAAATTATTACACAGAAACTTAAGTCTGAGCAACATAACCCCGACTTAAACCCGAGATTAGAACTCAGGTGCTCAGGAATGGTAAGCATCTCCTGTTCAACAAGTGGCAGCCAAAATGTTGCTCACGCAAGTATAAATCCTGTGATAGTCCTCATGCCATGATGTTTCAATAGAAGAAATGAGGACGGAATTGTTGGTTCGATAATTGGAACATGGCCGTTGTCCTTTGTGGCATAGATATTCCATAACGGCCAACCACACAGTGATGGCATCCGTACAACTTTCGATGGAATTACTTCAACTTTACCACTTAGAACCCTTAGTTTAATAGCTTCCTCGTAAGGAGCACCCTCTATCACCGAAATCATGATAGGGCACGCAAGCTCTGGAAAATCGTACCACAAACCAGATAAATCCTCTATTTGATGGCGCTGTCGAAATTTTGCTACTTAGGAAGGGTAAGTTCACAATTTAAAAGCTAAAATCACCCCTTTTATCGTAAGGGCGTTCTTCTCAACCGAACTTCATTGTTAATTTCAAGATTTCAGTCAAGATGTTAGGCAGACATAACCGTATATATCGGATCCTTTATTTCAAGTTTGATAAAATATGTCAGTACATCCTTGGCTTTTTAATGTTTTAGTTTGAGCGTTCATGATGAAGGTAAATCCTAAAACGGTGTTCCGACGTGCGAAATATACAAAATGTTTTTTTTATTCAATTCAGCACCATTGATAAAAAAAACCGTATGATCATTATTTTACATTCGGCACATCTCTTCAGATTAGAGGTAGAATCACGTAACCTTTGAGGTTTTCCAAAGAGAAATTGACAACGCCATGGAAAGACGATAGGAGAAGCAACTTCCATAAAACTCTATATAAAAAAATATAAAGAAAGAGCAACACTACAAATAAAACAGATTAAAAAAACACACAATTTTACCGGTTTGAATAGAGGTCAATACACTAGATGTTGAAACAGCCAATTGCTAATATTTACAAATTAACATATATTCATGCTGTGTTTTCATTAAATTCTTGGTCGTTTTTCCTCTCAAAAATTTCCCGCGTTTCTAACTTAGACATTAAAAATTGTAGGACAGTCTCAGGACAGTAACCTTTTCGCTTTACATGCTGTGGTTGCATATTTAATCACTCTATTTTGAAAATTAATACGGATATTTATACTTTATTTTAACAATTTGGACACACCTGTTTAGAAAAATAGAATATTTCTTTTATCAATAATACACAAACAGGAACAGAATTATATATTGAATATATTAAAACCCCGCGAAGTCACAGGTTTTGTTTACAATAATAATTTATGTTTGTTTATTTATCATCGAGAAACTGAATTTCAGTAAAGACTAAACACAGATTATTTTAAATAAAACAAAATGCATACCTTTTACAATGTTTTACTCAGTTAAGCAGCCAGTGAAATAAAGCGTGGCAATACCTGGAGTCAAACAGTATATATATTAATATCACCGAGTGATCTATATTTAGAGGCAACCGAAGGATCTATTGGAATAATATTACTATAAATAATTTTACAAAATAGACATTGTGACGTATTGGGAAAAGAATGTGTTCTATATTTTGAGGCATCCAAAGGTTTCTCTCATTGGACTTTTTGATTGATCGGGCTGAACGTCCAGTTGCATATATTGAAATATATCTAGCATTAAATAGTTTTACTTAAATATTAAAATAAATGTAAAATAGTGTAAATGAAATGCACACGATAAAATTACACACATGTTCAAGATATTCATTTGAATGAAAACAGTTAAACTATTCTTGATCAGATGGAGATAACAGGTAAATGCATGAATCAAGGACATCGACTGAAGGTCAAGGAGGTCATTAGCAAAACAAAATTTCATCCACTAGACAATAAACAAATAAGTATGAACAGAGACATGTATACCCAGGTTGGTACAGCAAACCCTTCTTATCTAACCAGGGATTCTGTTTTCTGTTTCCTCTTACGGGTTTTCAAGATCTTCTCTATCTTATAAAGTTCATCTTAGAATAAAATATATATGTTGTTTTTCAAATTAAGAAAATTTGATAAAATAAAACAATGAAATAAATGATTAAAAACAAGCAAATAATAAAAACAAAACCCTCCGTTAACTTTCTTTGCATTTGTTACTTCTTGTAGTCATAGAAGTATATTCTGTATTCGCTAATTTTCTATTTCCCAATCTCAATCTACAATATTTGAGACAATATCTGAAAATGTCTAATTTTTGGCAATAGGATCAACAAAAACATGTCTTTAGAACCGGTATTTTTAATAGCACAAATCGAAGAACAAACATTGAGGATTCAGGAACTGTTGTCTGTAATTCAAACAATTGTTAAATGTGGTAACAATGGCAATTTTAAAAATGGTAACAAAAAGTCCAGTTCTTTCTTGTTACCAAAGTGAATCAATTTAAAAAAAAGTTTCTTATGGGAATAAAGAATAAGTTTAAGATACAATATCTGGTTTACTAGTATATCCTACAATATTTTATCAAATGCCAATTATTTATTTTAGCATTTACAATACAAAAGGTTAAGAAATATACTAAAATATAGTCCGATATGTTGGTAACATGAAAGAATCTTGAGTAACAGGACAGAATTGGTAACAGGAAGGAATTATTTTTTCAAAACAATTCTTTTATTTCATAGTTTAAGAAAAATACATCATTACAAACTGGTCACAATTGGAAGATAACAGCAAACAATGTCGTTTAGCTTTTAAAACTTTATTTGCAAGATGAAAAATCTGCCTAGAAAATGAAAAATTCTAAAATAAATTCCTTTCTGTCACCATCTACTATACTAGAATTGCACAATATTCTCTGCTGTTATCAAAACTCAATAACCTGTCTTTTCATTCAAAATACTGTATATTATGTTGAGATTTATTTAATATGATGATAATAACTTATATTAAATGCAATGGTTGGCATATAGTAGATTAACTTTGTGTTTCATTAGTGAAATTGTCCTTTAACATCCTTCCTGTTACTGATTATGGCTATGCTGTTACTTTTTATCAGGTAACATGACAGAACGTAACAGAAAGGAATTACACACTACTTTTTGTCATTTTATTTGAATTGTGTGGAAGTTTACTTCCATCTACATATCAATTTAATTAGATACTATAAAAACACATTCAATGTTATAGTGCTGACAATCAAATATTCTCAGAAGGTACACAAAAAGGCTGTAAAAGGAGAGAACAACACAATTATTTTTCACTAAATTCTTTCCTTGGGTGAGCTCGGATTTTTCAAACTGGCTGCCATTCAAACTATACATGTGGAGGAAATGATGCTCTTCTCATTGCATTATAAGAAATCAAATCTTGGTTTTTCAAACGTTTCCACAGGTGAAAAAAAAACAGTGGTAACAGGAAGGAAAATTACCCTTTGGGACAAAATTTATTTTTTCTTAAATTTGCAAAATTTTATTACATGCTTTAGTTATAATAAAAACATACCAGTAAAGGACACGTTTCTTATATGATCTATCATATGATATTTGTGAAAATCGGAAGCCTGTTTACTTAATTTGGATATTCTTAGAATGATTTAGTGGGTCAGAAAAACAACACGGGACAACATGATTTTTGAGGGGGGGGGGGGGGGGGGGGGGGGGGGGTTCAAAATTCAAAGTATTATATTTTATTGGAAGAAATATAAGAAGGAGTGTTTAATTGGCAATAGTTGGTGCAATATATACTCTAGTTAATACTGAAATTTAAAATTTTCTAAAAAGATGGTTGAATAAAAAAATAATTGCCGGTGAAAGATGGAACCAGGAAATTAGACTTTTTCAGATAATGTCTCATTTCAGAAATGAAAAGGACATTATGAATTTTACCAGGTATGAACAAACGAGATGTGGTATGATTAACCCACCATAGGCCAATCAAATGACATGGGGATAAATAAGCTTCTATATGCCACTCGGAGATTAGGGAAGGGAATATCCGCCATAATTATACAATTCTTCATATGTAAAATGTAATTTCTTAATTTGTAGCATGCAATTTCTTAATTTGTAACATGTACTTTTTCAATCCGTTACATAAATTTCTACATTTCTTGATTTGTGAAATGTAACTTCTTAATTTGTAAATACAATTTCTTAATTTGTTAACGTATTTTCGTCATTCGTTACATGAATTTCTATATATTTCTTAATTTGTGAAATCTAATTTCTTTGTTTGAGTCACAGTTCACAATTCAAATAAAAACAAACGTGTTTGAGTCACGTTTTGAGAGATCGCGTCAGTGTAATTGTTACCGCTGTAAGCCAATGAGAAGTTCCGTTTTTAAAGAAAAACTACAAGTTACAAATCAACATGTTACAAGTCAAGAAGTTTTACAAGTCTAGAAGTTTTACAAGTCTAGAATGAAATAGTTTCACAATATTCCTCACGAGGTCGCTGTAGAGCCATGTCAACTCGTTCCTTCGCCAACTCGTACTCAACATACTCATTTTACTCATTAAAGATTTAAGTTCTTTTATATAAAATATATAGATTTTATTTTCATATAAGAAATATCTCAGTTAATCATTCGTCTCTAGAAGAAAGTGAGTATATGAAATTGTTTGAACGATAATTTATTTCATATACATGTTGAATAATTATAATCACACAATATTCTAATCAGTGATCATTACTCAGTGGTGGGGAAGGGATGGGAAGTTCCGGAGTTTGATCCCCCCTTTTTGTTTGACTGCTAATGCTTTTGTATGGGGACATATGGTTGGAACACCAATTTCTATTTAATTTGAAAGTGTTGGAACCCCCCCTTTTTAAAATGGTTGGATTTGCGCCTGATTAATGGACAATAGGCTCGAGCATACACAAATAGATTAGAATTGTTTTAATGAAAAATAAACATAGACGGGTGTATGAATCAAAACTACACTTTGAACACCATAATCCATTCAGTTTTACTTATCAATTTTGTTAAAACTAAGATTGGGGGAAAATAAGGGCGAAATGTATGATCTTTCGATTTTAATCATGGATCGTATTTGTTATAGTATCTAAATAACTGTATATATGTAAAACTTTTGGACTATGTTTAATTCATGTGCTTGCTTGGTCGCTTCAAAAAGATTAGATAAGCATTCATTTATAAACTAACTAGGCAAATCTTCTTGAACACATGTTCGACGCAAAAATCGGTAAAAAAAATATCCTATGAAGCTTTTTTCACTGATCTTTGCGTTGAACATATGTTCAAGAAGATTTTTCTATTTAGTTTATATATGAAATATAAAAAAAGAAGATGTGGTATGATTGCCAATGAGACAGCTCTCCACAAGAGACCAAAATGACACAGAAACTAACAACTATAGATCACCGTAAGGCCTTCAACAATGAGCAAAGTCCATACCGCATAGTCAGCTATATATATAAAAGGCCTCGAAATGAAAAATGTAAAACAATTCAAACGAGAAAACTAACGGCCTAATTTATGTACAAAAAAATGAACGAAAAACAAATATATAACACATCAACATACGACAACCACTGAATTACAGGCTCCTGACTTGGGACAGGCACATGCTTACAGAATGTGGCGGGGTTAAACATGGTAGCGTGTTCCCAACCCTCCCCTAACCTGCTGGGACAGTGGTGTAACAGTACAACATAAGAACGACCTATAAAAATCAGTTGAAAAAGGATTAACTCATCAGATGGATACAAATAGAAATAAAGCTTTTCGTATCTTTTTGATTGATTGGTTGTGTTTTAACGCCACTTTTAAGCGCCACTTTTAGGCTATTTCGTGGCGGTCAGTTTTTATTGGTGGAGGAAGCCGGAATACCCGGAGAAAATCACCGACCTTCGATAGGGAAGCTGACAACCTGTATCTTTTTGAAGCGACAAAGTCAGCACAAGAATTAAACATAATAAAAATGAATACAATCGTCTAGTAGGTTTAAAGAATCTATGTCAGTTAACATCGTTTCATAAAGAATACAGATATGAAGTCCAAGCAAGATTTCAATGAAATCCGGAGACAGCACTTCTTTTGTTCAGCCCACAAACATATAAGAAAATAATCTTTAAGCTATCAATGTTCAATTTTTATTCATTATTAACAGTTCTATTACTGGTCGATTTCTTTTTAGAAAGTCCACTTGCGCCCTACCTCTGTCTGCAAGCAGTTAGTAGAGAATTTGCGTTCGGTGAACGAGGGGACGCCCCCTGGCACTGTCTTGTGCTATTTGGGGTATCACTACACTAAGACCCTTTTTGGTATTGGGTACTAGTTGGTAGAAATACGAGTTGGTAAATATTGGGTACGAGTTGGCGAAGGTATGAGTTGACATGGCTCCACAGCGACCTCGTGTGGAATATTGTGAAACCATTTCATTCTAGACTTGTAAAACTTCTACACTTGTCAAACTTCTTGATTTGTAACTTTTTGATTTGTAACTTGTAGTTTTTCTTTCACTGAGAAACGAAACTTCTTATTGGCTGGCAGCGGTAACAAGTACACTGACGCGATCTTTAAAACGTAACTCAAAAAAAGTAGCTACATTTCATAAATCATTAAGAAAAGTAGAAATTCATGTAACGAATGAAGAAAATACGTTAACAAATAAGAAATTGCATTTACACATT